AAGGCAATGTTTCTGAAAGGTTGACCTGCAGACCCCCTCCCAGAATTTCTCGAGGTGATTGTCCAAATGCAGACTCTTAGGTCACCCCGACCCATTGGACCAGTTTCCAGGAGTGGAGTTGAGCACCTTCCTTTTTGATAAACATCCTAAAGAACTCTCCCGTACTTCAAAGGCTGAGATCCTATGTCCTAGGGGGTAGAAATCGTACCTTGGTAGGTTTTACCAGTAAGAAACCTGAGCCTGGCTGGGTACGGTGGCTCACGCCTGTAATCCCAGCACTTTGGGAGGCTGAGACCGGCGGATCACAAGGTCAAGAGATAGAGACCATCCTGGCCAACGTAGTGAAACCTTGTCTCTACTAAAATACAAAAATTAGCTGGGCATGGTCACACGTGCCTGTAATCCCAGCTACTCGGGAGGCTGAGGCAGAAGAGAATTGCTTGAAGCCAGGTGGTGGAGGTTGCAGTGAGCCTAGATTGCACCACTGCACTCCAGCCTGGCGCCTAGTGAAAGAGCAAGACTCTGTCTCAAAAAAAAAAAAAAACACAAAAATTAGATGTGATACGCACACCTGTAATCCCAGCTACTCGGGAGGTTGAGGCAGGAGAATCGCTTGAACCCGGGAGGTGAAGGTTGTAGTGAGCTGAGATCTCGCCACAGCACTTAGCTTGGGTGACAGAGCAAGACTCCATCTCGAAAAAAGGGAAGAAACCTGAACTCAATGGCAGAGCTCCTACCTTCATCCCAGCACTTTGGGAGGCTGAGGCAGGAGGATCATGTGAGCGCAGGAGTTCGAGACCAGCCTGAGCAGCACAGCAAAACCTTGCCTCTAGAAAATAACAAAAAAACTAGCCCGGTGTGGTGGTGTGGGGCTATCGTTCCAGCTATTTAGGAGACTGAGGTGGGAAGGTCACCTGAGCCCAGGGAGGCTGAGGCTGCAGTGAGCTGTGATCACATCACTGCACTACAGCATGAGTGACACAGCTAGACCCCATCTCATAAAGAAAAGAAAAACCTGAGCTCAAGACATGAACTACACTGCTCAGGACCTGCCAAGGAACACACTGTAGAGGCTTCATTGAAACCCTGAGCTAGGGCGATGGGTGTCCCACTTTGCCTGTGAAAATCCTGGGTTATGCCTGCTGCCATATATCATTAACAGTAGCCATTTTCACTTGCAAAAGCATCCTGGGTTGGATAATGCATTATAGGTCTTCCCTATTCAGAGCCCCTAGCCATGACTGTACCGTACTACTGCCCCTTCAAAAAGGTCAGCGAATGTGGTTCTGGGAACACACAGGATGAAGGGGGCATAACCAGGCTGGGGAGGTAGGTCGGGGAGACACCTTAGCTATGCATGATTCCCACATCCCCTCTCTGCCTTTAGGACAGCTTTCTAGGCAATGGGTACTCTCAAGAAGGACATTGATGAATAACTGATTTCCGTCTCCACTGAAAGCTGCAAGCATAGCGGCAATGACGATACTATCTCTGTGCCAAGCACCATTCTAAGCACTTTGCATATGTGACACAGATAAACACAGACCCTAAACGGCAGCCGGAGGAATTGAGCTGCACAGCAAGAACTCTTGCGTAGAAAACTTGTGATGACAATGCACTATTGACCGACGACCCAGGAGTCCGTCCAGCCAGCCAAGTCCCAGGGCGATTTTGGATGTAGCCTTTGTAAACTGTGACCTTTCTGGATGATCTGGAAAAAGTCAACACCAGGATCCTGAGCCTAATAGGCAGTGAAAAGGAGCCAGGTTTTCCTTCTCCAGGGACCTTTAAGAACAGAGCTTGCCTGCACATCTTGACTGATTTAGATCCAGCCCCACCAGGAAGCAGGAGGATGATGACCTCTGAGGTCCCTTTGAGCCTAAGGGGTCTGTGATCATTACAACCACATGTCAGGACCCGGAGACATTGCCGTTTCCTGCTCTTTCACCTGGGGATCCAGGCTGTGGGGCCCCTTTTGCCTGTGTATTTAGTAGGTCATGACCTTTTCCCTGGGCCTCCCAGTCTCCTCCTTAGTATTCACTCCCACCCACTGGCAGGGCTTTGAGCTCTTTCTTTTCTGGGGTCTCCCCTGAGGAGCTTTGGGTGGTTGCAGAAAGTAAGCCCTCCATCTTCGCTCCACTTCACTTCTGACACACATCTGAACTTTACCAGCCCTGCCTGGGGTTTTTGCGGCAACCAAACCATTTTAGGGACATGGAGCAGAATCAGCTCTCCCGAAAAGATAGTCAAGGCAGCCTCCAAACCTGTCACCAGGAAACATGTATCCTCCTCAGGACAGCAGAGGCAGTAGCCATGGATGGTGGAGGGTGTTGCCCAAACTGGCCAGTGGGGCTGCCCCAGCCAAAGGCAGAGATTATCCAGGTGTGCTTTTTAACCCAGGAGGCTAGTGAAGGGAATCCCTAGAAGACTCTACCCCAACCCCTCATACACTCCCACATTTCTTTTTTAGATCATCCTGCATCAGGCAGCTGGAGGGAATGCACTGGCCGAGGGCCCAGCTGCTGAGCCAAACTGAGGCTTCTCATTTTCCCCTCTAGTTGGAGAGAAAAGGGGAAAAAGAGAAGAGAGAAGTGAGGAGAAGACAAGGAACAGTGAAAGGAGAGAGGAAAGGAAAACGGTGCAGAAAGGAAAGGATGAAGACGAGAAGAGAAAAGATGAGAGAATAGGAGGAAGGGGAGTGATGCTGCCAGATCCACCTGCATCGACTTGAGGAAACAGATTTTAGGGTGGGGGTTTCATCACGGGCCTATAGGAGATCAAAGGGTGGGGGCAGGGTTGAGGGTGAGGAGGAAGTTACAGTGAACTGTGCTTAGCACAGCTGACTCTTACAGTAGGACCTCAACCCCTCCAAAACACAGCTCTCTGGGAGACCCTAGACAGTCTCTGCTAGGGAGTTGGTTGGGTGAAGAGAGAAAAAAAAGTGTTGTCGCAACCCACAGGCACTGTGTATTCAATTTAGTTCATCCGTTTAAGTTATTTATTTATTCTTATAGACAGGGTCTCCCTTTTTGGCCTAGGCCGGAGTGCAGTGGCACCATCAGAGCTCACTGCCTCCTTGACTTCTTGGCCTCAAGGGATCCTCCCAGCTCAACCTCCAAGTAGCTAGGGCCACAGGCAGGAGCTGTCATGCCCAGCTAATTAATTTTTTTTTTTTTTTTTGTAGAGACGGGGTCTCACCATCTTGCCCAGGCTGGTCTTTAACTCCTGGGCTCAAGCAGTCTTCCTGCCTTGACCCCCTAAAGCCATGAACCACCACGCTCAACCTAGCTTGCACTTTTTATGCACCTACTTTTTATATACCAAGCTCCAGACTAGACACTGGGCATGTCAAGAGTGAATGAGATGGAATCTCTGGCAACATTCTGGGGAAGGTGTGCAGTGTGTTCAGTAGACGCGTGTGTGCATGTGTGTGGTGGGCTGTGGGCACTGACACTCTTTCTGGAAGGAGAAGAAAATGCATATTCATTTTTATGTATGAGCTAGGGGATATAAGAGCTGGACGATCCTTAGAAAGCCAGCTTGTAGGATGGTCCCTAGAAACCATCCAGATGAAAGATTTCTTCTCATATGCTAGCAGATGCCTCAGAGAGGGCAGTACTCCAGCTTATCCCAGGGACAGGGTAGGCGAGGAGACATTGGCTCTACTGGTCAGACGGGGAAACCCAAGTAAGAGGAGGCTTAAGAGGCCATCTCATTCCATCCTCTCTCCAAAGCAGTCATCTCCTACTTAGCTGAAGGCATGCAATATTTGCATGCCATCCGCAGGGCCAGGGAGCTCGCTAACTACCAAAACCGTTTCCCAAAGTGTGTTCCTCAGGGTACCTAGTCCCTGATGCTGTTAATTGGTGTTTCTTAGGATGGGGTAAAAAGAGTGGCCTGGAAAAATAACGTTGGGTTAGATAAAGTTTTTTCCCCATTATTATTATTATTTTTTTTTGGTGTTGGGAGGAGTTTCCTATTTGGGATATTTTTTTATTTACTTTTGGTTTTGTCTGTAGGATTTCTCAGAGCCCTTAATATGTGCATTCCTGAGACTTGGACAGAATGAGGTATTTCTAAACTTGCTTTCTTTCATAGCTTTTTTTCTTTTTTTGAGATAGGGTCTCACTCTGTCATCTGGGCTGGAGTAGCTCACTGCAGCTTCAATCTCCTGTTCTCAAGCAATCCACCTGCCTCAGCCTTCTGAGCCAGGGCCATAGGTATGCATCACCACACCTGGCTAATTAAAAAAATTTTTTTGTAGAGACAAGGTCCCACTATGTTGCTCAAGCCGGTCCCGAACTGAACTCAAGGAATCCTCCCGCCTCAGCCTCCCAAAGTGTTGGGATTACAGGCATGAGCCCCTACGCCTGGCCTTACCAAATGTTTTGAATTAACAGTATATCACACAACTTTGGGATATTCTGCTCCAATGATGGAAAGAACTTTCCTATGCTGAAGTGAAGAAAAGACTGTGGGTGGGGGATTGGGTGGTATACCATTCCTGGGAGGTCTGAGCCTCCAGTCTGCCACCCACCTGTTCCCAAAAGCTTTTTGAAAACTCTTCAACTGGATTAAGGCTTTGATTAACTTGCCTTTGTTCTCAGTGATTTGACCTTGGGTGAACTGCTCCATTTCTTCATTGCCCTTCCATTTTCTCCCCATTGAACTGGGATAATGGCCCCCAATGCATTCCTGTCTTCCCGGGGCCTTTGGAGTCTCCAAAGCATTTCTGTATATTTCCTTTCCCTGAATTGTTCTGTATTATTTCCTCTGCAGCTTCTGTCTCCCCAGCTGGGTTGAAAGCACCTTCAGGGCAGCGGCCCTGAGGTTCTTCGGATTGTGGTTCCAGGCTCCCCTAACACTGTGACAAGAAACATCTTGGGAGAGCCTCAAGTCTGTAGATGGGATTTGCGTCCCCATTCTGCCACTTAATGGTCACGTGACGAGTCACTCAAGCTCCTGGAAGCTTATTTCCTTCTTCAAAACAATGGGGCTAACCGAGCAGAGGGAAAGGGATTTATAAACTCAGTTTCTATAGAATCCTAGTTATTTTTATTAATCATTTATCCAACACATGCTAATTGTGTTTGAGGCATTGTGTGAGATATTGGGAATCCAGAAATGAGCTTTCGGCTCATCCACCTCATCTCTCCTTCTGTCTGTACTCAGCCATAGGAAAATCATGCTTATAAAGTCTGTGAAAACCTCAGCATTCTGAAGATACACACAGAGATTGTTCACATGCAGGAGTGACTGGTGACATTGTATCAGCCCTGGTCCTCTGACTTTCCGTTACCTCTTAGGGGCAGCCATATACACAGCCAAAAGGAAGCACGCAGGACAAACTACTTTTTAATCTAGAAAGAGAAAAAAAGGATTTTTGAACTCGGGTAAACTGGAAGTGAGGGATGCTGGGGGGAAGGGAAGGATCGAGGCAGAAAGGAGGGCCCAGGGATGAATGGAGTCACAGGGCCCAGCAGCAGAGCAGACAGACCCCCAACACACATGTCAAACCCAAACAAGGGAATGTTTTGAGGCTGTGCAGCCAGCATGCCTCCGTGCTGGCCCCCTTAAGGACCACCCTGGGAAGTTCTCTAGAAAACCCATCCATCACGGACAAGATTCTGCTTTCTTTCCCCCTTGGTTCAACATCCATAGCACAAAAATGTGCTTCACTAATGGAAACCTGGTGCTGGGTTCTTGGAGCATTGCGGCAGTGAGCAGCAGAAGAGGAAGTGAGTGTGTTTGAAAGAACACACACACACACACACACACACACACACACACATACATACACACCACACACACATGCACACACAGAAACAGGCTGAAGCCCCCTGTTCATAAATTCATGGTTACAACCATTCACATAACGATAGATACACAGAGATGAACCGGGAACACCTCGAGACACTGGGACTGTGACAGCAAGAATAGCTGATGAAGTCATTGCCCTCCAGCTCCCCCATCACCAAGAGGGGATGGGCACCTCCCTCTTCTGTGTTTCTCAATGATTCAGTATGGTCTGGCTGGGGTTTTCACTGGCTCTTTCATACACTGCTGGAGAAAAAAAAAGAAAGAAAAAGATCAAATTTCAGTTCCCCTCAATTGCTCTGGGTTTGTGCAACCAAGTGTCATTGTGAGACTTCTGCCGCCCACGTCCTCAAAGAGGCCTGCACGTGGCTCAGTCTGCACCTAGACCAGAGCAATTAAGAGTTCCTTTTTCCTGTCGTGAAGGACAGCCCAACCATCAAATGTCCCCATGATGTTATCCTATCCACTGGGTGAGCCCATAAGGCTGACTGAAGGCAGAGGCAACCAAGAAGCACTTTTGTATGTGAGTAAAAACAAATTATGAGGTGTGTGTGGAAAGAACCCTGGCCCAAACCTTAGAAGACCTGAGTTCTAGTCCTGGAGCTGCTAGGAACTAGCTGTGTGACCTTCGTCAGGTCACTCAACCTCTCTGATTCTTAGAGCTGTCTGCTGCAAAACAAACAGGGCACATGATGACAGTCTCTGATTGCTATCTGCATAAATGAAGATTTGTGAGGTATGGATAATACAAAACAATGGTGGCCTAACTTCAGTGTTTTCTATTTTACTTTGCCTTTGGAATGTAACTAGAGCACACATTCAGACACTTGCAAACTTCCTTCCTTCCCTGCCCCCTTTCCTTGCTCTTCTCTCTGGCTCTCCTGGCCAAGGGTAGGGGTGGAAGAATGTGAGGTTGGCTGAAAAGGCAGAGAGGATGCAGGAAGGTTTCTGGTTGGGGGCAGGGAGGTTGTGGAGGAGGAGTGCTCCAGGCATCGGGGAATCGATCAGCTGTAAGATCATTCTAATCCTTTCCCCTATCCAGAAAGGTGGGAGGTCGTGAACAGCATATTCCTCTCGTGAAATACCGTATATTCTTGCCTATGAGAAGCCCTGGGAAAAATAGTAATGTGTGTTTAAATGATGAGCTGCAAGGAAAATCATGAGAGAAGTCCTTCTCCTTCTTGTCATTTATGTATTTCAGTTTTCCTTTCAAACCAAGATGTGGCCCCTGCAAAACCAGGATTCCCAGGGCAATTGTCATGCCTATGGGGGTGGAGACTGGGGAGAAGGGACCTTCATGGGGAAACAAATGTGCTATTTTGCTATTTTTATTCGACCATGGCTTGGAAAATAGGATACTTTTCTTTTGCTGCAGCATCTTATATGTGAGCATATACGGTAATGGAGGCATTCCAGAGTCCAGCTGATAGCCAATCAGGAGTTGGTGCCTTTTGGCATTTTTTCCCCTTTAAGAAAAAGTTTCGGGTCCTCTAAGGAGCAGCAAATCAACTGCAGTCCACAGAGTTGCCATCCCCTCCCTCACCTTCCACCCACCATTATGGGGACAGGGCATGCATGCTAGTTAGGGTCAACCTGGGTCCTCATCCTGGGGGCAGCCTTGTGAAATACGAAGTCTTAGGTTTTAAAAGTAGGGTGATAGGGATAGGAGAGAGAGGCTGGCAGAGGCTGGTGGCTGACCAGCTGGGGCCATTGCTTGGGGTGAGGGTGGTTGGAGGGACGAAGAAGGAAGAGAGAGAACTCCATGATTACGGGCAGCTATGGATGCTCGTGTCTCTCCACAGGACTGGACCAGTGGCAGGCTGGTGGGAAGCATGAGCAGCTCCATTTAGGAAGGGGAAGCAGCAGCTGTTTCCCCAGGAGACAGTGTCCGGGAGCAGCTGGAAGCTGGGAAGAACCCAATGGCAAGGGAGCTGCCAGCTGCAGGATGAAAAAGGAGACCCAGGCTGGGTGCTGCCATCTGACTGGGCAGTGGGGCTCTAGCTCGGAGCTGACCAGCCTCAGCTTTCTCTCCTGCTTGTGAAACCTGGGCCTTAACTTCCTGTCCTTCCCTCCTCCCTAGGCTTGACCAGACTCTGCAGCTCTGCCTGGGCTCTGTCACTGTGACCTCCGCTCAGCTTCCAGGCTCACTTCTCTTTTTCCTCTTTGAGGTTGCGAATGTTGGTGACTCACCACTTCCAGTGCCCTCCTGTTTCTTCTTCACTTCTCTTTCATATCTTAGTTCTCCTTTCGTTCAGGGCTATGCAAGCCTGAAAGGTGGTGGGAAAATCTAACAGCATGCTGGAAAGAGACCACCTGTCCCCTGTCCTCTGGGCACACTCCTTGGCCTAAGTGCTAGATACACTCAGCCTCTTCCCTTAATACTTCCTTTAAATGGTGGACTCTTATCCAGATGAGGAAACTGAGATTATAGGAGGTAAAGTAAAGTAGCTCCCAACTCAAGCACTCACCAAACATTCACCAAGCACCTGGCAAGTATCAGAATCCGAACGTGTGAAGGTAAGTGTGCTCAGGCCCTCATACACTACTTCAAGAACTCATGCCCCCAATGTGATCCCCTACTCCTCAGTAGCATTATTTAGGAACTTCTTAGAAATGCAGACTCTCAGGCCCCCTTCAGCCAGCTGAATCAGACACTGGGAGGGGTACCCAGACATGTGCATTCCCATGCTCACTGACATTTGAGAAGCATGGCCCTAGGCAAGGGATTTCATTAGGCCTTCCCTGGTGGAGGACAGCCACATAGGCTTGAGCTCCGTTTTCCAGTTCCAAGGTTCCTCTTTCAAGGATGTCACCACAGAAGGCAGTGGATTATTTATCCACAGCAGGCCTGGGTAAAGGGGGCATAACTCCCCTTTTCAGAAGGAGTGACCTGGGCCCTTTTGACCCTTTGCTTGGCTTTTTGAGAATAAGGATGATCAACGATGTCTCATGCTACTCCCTGTTCCTTCTTTCACTTAATCATTTTCAGAGTTTCCTTTTTGGCAGAAGTTTTTAGTTTTTTTTCAGACACATGGTTGGAAGAATTTCAAGCCTAGAAGGCACACCACAAGGAAGAGAGTTCTATGCTCTGAACACAGGATAACAGATAAAACAGCAGGAGAGACTTAGGTTAGATCATCTGTTCAGTAATAGAACTGGGGACCCTGCATCAGGGAGGCTCTCTAGTCCAGGGATTTGTGTGATGGGGAGGCACAGATAATTTGGTGATGAGCCTCTGTGGGCAAAACGTCCAGGAATGAGACTGGGGCTTTAGACGACTTGCATGTTTTCATTTGGATTCTTCTCACTAATAGTAGGATGTGGGCAAGTCTCTTAACTTTTCTCTAATTCAGTTTCTCATTTTTAACACAGATATAGAAGCATCTTTCATAGGACTTCCATTGGTTTCCTTTAGATTTTTCAAAAAACTTTTCATTTTGAAGTTATTTGGAGACAATTTTCCATGGGTCTCTCATGTTTTTGCATGTTTTATGAAGAAAGGTACAAACAAATTTTCATTCTGGATGTTTTAAGGACTTTTTCATAGTGAACAGCCCTGGATAATAGAAAATAGCTCTCAATTTAGATGTATACACACAGCAAAGCAATCTTTCAAGAATGAGGATAAAGATACTTTCAACAAACAAAAGTTAGCTGAGTTTACTACCTGGGTCCTCGGTAAAGGAATTTCTAGACTGGGGTGTATTTCAGGAAGAAAGAACGATTCCAGCAGGAAGCAATGACATGTAAGAAAGAAAGGTGACAGAAGGAAAAGACCGACACATGAGTAAATCTAGACAGAGAACGAAGTGATAATAACAATGAGTAACACAGGGGAGTTAAGAAACACAACTGAAATAGATTTAAGAAGCATAAAAGTTGGATTGGGGTGTAAATATGGATGAGTCTTGCTAAGAGCTTTCCATGCATGAGATAAGTAAAAATACTAAATTTACTTTTTAAGTTAAATAACCACTGAAATAATAGAAATAGAGTGTGTAACCTTCAAACTAGATTACAGAAGGAAAGCTGAAGTAAAAATGTTTTAAACAAACAACAACAAAAAAGCAAAAAGAAAGGGGAAGAAACAAACAATAATATGGTATAAATAAACTGTTATATCAGTAACCACTATAAATGTAGATGGACTAAACTTCTATTATAAGAATGTAGCAATTATCGACAAAACTCTTCTGTGAAAGGGCAAATCTGGCTAGACTGGATCTGAAAGTCTAATTTATTCTGTTCTCTAGAGTCACACACTAAAACATAAAGACACTGAAATTTTTAAAACAAAAATGGCCAGGTGTGGTGGTCAACCCCACCATGGTGGGGGCTGCTTGGGAGGCTGAGGTGGAAGGATCACTTGATGTAGGGAGATTGAAGCTGCAGTAAGCTGTGACCACACCACCACTGCACTCAGCCTGGGCAACAAAGAGAGACCCTGTTTCAGGAAAAAGAAAGTAAAAGCACAGAAAAAGAGATACCTGATAAAGAGTAATAAAATAGACACATTTCAATATAAGGCAAAAAGCCTTATTAGACATACAGAGAGATACTACAGAATAATAAATAGTTTATATCACCAGAAGAATATAATAGTATTAAACTTGTATGTAATCAGGAACATAGCTTCAAAATACAGCAAACAAAATTGCAAGAACCACAAGGAAAGATAGAGAATTCTATATCATAGTGGGAAGCTTTAAAATCTTCTCTAATTATCTGACAGATCAAGCAACAGAAAAATCAGAGTTTTTAGAAGATTTGAACATGCAACTAATAAGCTTGATCTAATAGATGTATATTGGATTTTGTACCCATGAAATGGAAAAGACACATTCTTTTCAAGTACACTTGGAACATTTAAGATCATCCTTATAGTATGCCATAAAGCAAGTCTCAACAAATTTCAACCAGCTTCTTACAGTTTATATACTTTGACTCCAAAGAATTTAAGAAATCAATAACAAAAAGAGGACTAAAAAAAACTCCTGTGTTTGGAAATTTAAAGGCACACTTCTAAATAACTTCAGGGTCAAAGAAGAAATCATAATGGAAATGAGGAAATACTTAATGCTGATTGATAAAGATAATATTTCATATTTAAATTGAAGGAATAAAGTGTTTTGAGATGGTTAGAGGAAAATATATGGCATGTATGCTAATGTATTAGGAAAGAATGTCTGAATAGCAGCAAGGTAAACATCCAAATTAAGAAATTGGAATAAACCAAAGAATAGTCTTTTTAAAAATAGAACGGATGAATTAATAAAGAGCAGATGCACTGAAAAAGGAATACAAAAAGTAGAATTAACAAAGCTGAAAAATACTTCTTTTAAAAATATGCATGCAATTGAAAACTGCCAGCAAACATAACTAAGTGATCAAGAGAAAAGGCCAAAAAATGGCAGGATTAGTAATGAGAAAGAGGATTTCACTACTTATCACGGGCTGAATGGTATTCCCTCAAAAGCTACGTAGAGTTTCTAACTCCCCATACCTGTGAATGTAATCTTATTAAGAAACAGGGTGTCTGCAGCTGTCATCAAGCTAAAGATCCCAACAGAAACTTTCCAAGAGAAGAGACACGAATTACAAAAAAGTGCATGAAAAGATGTTCAACATCATTAGTCATTAGAATATGCAAATTAAGATGCAATGAGCTGCCACTACACACCTATTAGGATGGTTAAAATGAAAAAATCAAGACAAGAGAAAATGTTGGTGAGGATCCCGAACAATTAGAAGTCTGACACATTGTTGGCAAGAAGGCAAAATGAGTACAGCTCCTTCAGGAAATGCTTCAGTCCTTTCTTTTAACATTAAACATATATTTGCCATATGTTCCAGCAATCTCACCACAAGCATTTACCCAAGAGAAATAAATTAAAACTCATGTCCAGATGAAAACCTGTACACAAATATTAGGGTAGCTTTATTCATAATTGCCGGAAACTGAAAATACACAATGAATGCTGAATGGATAAACACACTAAAACACGGGAATACTCCTCAGCCATAAAAGGGAGAGGCAGACCGAAGCACATACAATGACAGGAGGGAATTTCACAGGTGTGCTGAATCAGAGAGCCAGACTCAAGGCTATGTGCTGTATGACCCCATTTATATGACATTCCAGAGTCAGAAAACAAATCAGCAGTTCCCCAAATCTAGGTATTAGGGGAGGAAACTCTCCACAAAGGGACACAGGGAACGTTTTGAGGGTGATGAAAAATGTTCTACATCTTAATCGTGGTGGTGGGTACATACCTGGGTTTGTCGGAATGTGTGGGACACTAAACCTACAAACAGTGACTTTTACTTCATGTTGTTATGCGTCATGTCCCCTGACCTTTGAAGAAAAGAATGACATATCACTTAGAGGCACATTCAGGAATGACAAAACTATTTTTATTTTTTTGAGAGGAAGTTTTGCTCTTGTTTCCCAGGCTGGATTGCAGTGGCACAATCTCGGCTCCCTACAACCTCCACCTCCCGGGTTCAAGTGATTCTCCTGCCTCAGCCTCCCGAGCAGCTGGGATTAGAGGCCTGCACCACCACACCTGGCTAATTTTTGTATTTTTAGTAGAGATGGGGTTTCACCACATTGGCCTGGCTGGTCTCGAACTGCTGACCTCAGGTGATCTGCCCACCTCGGCCTCCCAAACTGCTGGGATTATAGGCATGAGCCACTGCGTCTGGCCAAAACTATTTTTAAAAGTAGGTATTTCAGAAATAACTGAGAGTGAGGGAGTTCAGTAGCATTTGGGAATGAGACATGGGTGACCTCAATGGTTCGATCGTGTTCTCTGTCTTAAGGTGGAAACTGAATGAAAATCAGTTGTTAAAACAGGATGGTATTATGTGGGAGAAAGGGATGAAGCGCTAACCCTGTCCTCTGGGCTTGGAGCCAAGGTCATCAGTCATCCATTCACCTGGAAGGGCCTATGGGGCAGTGAATGTGACTGCACATGTGGAAGTTTGAGCAACAGAAGGAGGGACAGGCACTGTTCGCTGTCCCCCAAGCATCATTCTCCACTCTTGTTGCGGAGCATCTGAGAACTAACTGGAGACAGCATTGGCCCTTAGTGCTATCCCCATCCTACCCTTGAAAGTGAAAAAGAGATTACAGACTGGGTTCTTAGTCACAGAGAGGAGCTTCAGGCAGGGGACCATTCTCATCCCTCTCCCCCACCTCACCTGCCACACACACTTTCTTACTTAAAGATACACTGGAGAGAAAAGTCCTTGAAGTCAGGGGCCACATGAAGTAAGGGGAAGAACACAGGCTTTAGAGTCAGAACAAGTTTGGAATCCAGGCTGGTTTATTAAGTTAAATGCCTTTGGGCAAGTTAATTACCCCTTTGGAATCTCTATTTCCTTGCTTATAAAAATGGGCATAACAATCCTTCCCTAACAGGCAGGGCTTCGATGTATTCTGACGTGTTTTGAAATAGAGAGATACATCTGACAGCACCATAGGACAGGAAGGCTGGGAGCTTCCTGGGAAGACCAGCTCATTGCGGCATGTTAGGCCAGCCTGCAGCCCCCTGCCCTACTGCTCAAACGCTGGGTCTCAGCAGTGGTCTGGTGTGGACGGGACTGCTGTGGGGGATGATGACTCACCCTATCAGCCAGCTGTGGACATCGGAATGGAACGGCCGAGGGGCTAACACCCATTCTCTCCTTGAGGATCAAGTACTTGGGAAGCTGTGTTACAGTCACATGGGTGCTCACTGAGTACGGAGCGAAAACACTGAAGTTAGTTGGAAAACTAAAATGCATAATGGTATCAGGTGATGATAACTTGAGTGTCCAGCTCCACAAAAAAGACACAGGCACCTTTAGGACCAAGGTCCCCTTCCTCCAGGCCAGGGCTCTGGTTTTCTCTAGGACTCTCCTTTGCTGTGTTTCCATTACTGACCAACCTCTCCCTTAGGACTGACCATCTTTTCTGTAGACTGCCTTTCAATTAACTTCTGTGGGGCTCGATGCCTAGAGAATCATTCTCTCTTGAGCAACTACAAGCTCAGCTCTGATGCACTGTGTGTTCATTTCATGGTTTCCAAGAGCAGTTTTACTCTCTTCATTTCCAAATATCTGGGGCGCAGTAGATAGGAAAGTGGTGCCTTTCAGTGTCCAATGTATGAACCATCCACTCATATGTACATCATGGTATGTCTTCGAGAAATGTTCTCTTTCTACATATATTAAGGCTTCACTCATCACACGAGCTATTTTTTGTGGCTGTGTGTGTGTGTGTGTGTGTGTGTGCAGCATTGTACAGGGTTCTAGCAAGATGCCGACTGTGCATTATGCTGCTTGAGAGTTTTCTGTGGGTGGAGAGAAGTCCACCTCACCCCCAGCCAAAACACAGTATCACAGAACATGGAGGCATTTTCCTAGGTGATCTCTTAAGAATGGAGGGAGAAGCTGGGTGCAGTGGTTCACACCTGTAATCCCAGAAATTTGGGAGGCCAAGGCAGGTGGGTCACCTGAGGTCAGGTGTTCTAGACCAGCCTGGCCAATGTGGTAAAACCCGGTCTGGTCTCTATTGAAAATACAAAAATTAGCCGGGTATGGTGGTGGGAGCCTGCAATTCCAGCTACTCAGAGGCTGAGGCAGGACAATCACTTGAACCCCGGAGGTGGAGGTTGTAGTGAGCCAAGATCGCACGACTGCACTCCAGCCTGGGCGACAAAAGGAAAACTCCGTCTCAAAAAAAAAAAAAAAAAAGAATGGAAGGAGGGTCTCTATGAACCCAGACACACTGGTTGCTGGACATTTTCATACTTTTCAACCAATTAATAAACTGGCCAATCACCAAACACCAGGACAGGAGGACAATCTGGGCTAATAGTTGCCTATCCAGGAGTATTTGTTACACCAGGCATTGTGCTATTAAAACATTCTTGCATCCAGATTTCATTGAACTCTTACAACAACCTAGTAGAGTAGGCATTAGTAGGCTCATTTTGTAGGTAACAGAGCAAGGCTTGGAGGGGTTAAAACATCTGCCCAGGCTCACCACCACTAGTAATAGTAAGGCTTGGATTCAAACCCAGGTTTGCCAACCCCAGCCTCCTCATCAGCTCTCTATCACACCCAGAGCCAGTGGCATCTGTAGCTCAGGGGGCTGAAGCCACAGGACAACTACTAACCCACCCTCCTCCCTCTGCTCTTCCAGAGATGACCTCCTGACACACAGTAAGAAGCTGACATCTCCATGGCATGCAGGAGTAAAGCCAGCCCCTCACCAACCACTTGGGGCCCCGCCCAGCAGAGCCCCAATACTCCTTTACAATCTCTTCTCTGCCTGTAAACCACGACTTCTCCTGCACATGGTCTATCTTTCTCAGCGTCTCTTGAATTTACTGCACCTTCAACTGGTACCAAATATTTGCTGCTACGCTTTTAGCTGAAGAGGGTTGCCAGCCATCATTCAAGGTTCTGCTGGAGCCCCACCACTACAGCAAGGGAAGCCAGACAGCCCCTAGCCCTTGTTTTTCCCTGAACCACCACCACATCACATCCCTCACCCTTGAGGCTTACCAGGTATTCATCTTTCAAAGCCACAAGGCAAACTGGGAGGCAGGATGGTGAGAAGAGGCCAGAGATAATGAGGTGATCCCTCTTGCTCTCAAGTTTGGGAATATTTACTCTCTCCGCTCTGCCATCAGTAGTGCTCCCCAGATGATCACATCCCTGGGAGAAAAATGAAGTTTTAAATATTTTGTTCTTTCCCAATGTTTACCACACACATAGTAGATAGTAAGTCTTTTACTTGGTATATGAACGAGTGATTGAAGTGAATGAGTGAAGGAAGAGGACAGCTGAACGAGACCGGTCGTTACGAGACGGTGCTTAAATCCTGGTGTGCCTAACTGGGAGACAAAGGATTGAGGAGTCATCAGAGAGACAGCTTGTCAATGCTGAAAGCCTGAATTCTGGAATTTGATAGGGTTTGAATTTGAGCTTTGCCACTCAAGAGTTGTGTGAATTTGACCAAGTTACTAACCTCTCTGTGATTCGACTCCATCTGTAAGAAGAGAATGAATACCCACCCTCTAGAGCCATTATCATGAGTAAGCAAGATAATTTGTTTAAGTGCCTGGCATGGAGGGACTATTACATAAAAGATAGCTCATTATGATCAGTGAAGGAAGGAAGGAGGAAGAGGATGTTTGGAGGAAGACTTCTATGGAATTTTGGAAGTATGTGCAGAGCTGTCCCCCCAGTCCCACCCCCTGTCGCTGCCCCCCTGGCCCTGTGACCATCAATATCTTCATTGTCTTGACAGAGACATTCTGGAGCCTCTCTTTGGTCATGCATCTCTCCAGTTTCTGGACCTGGCAGCAGCAGCTGCCTCCTGGGTGGTGGCAGGGTGCAGGCTGTTGCTGGGAGAATGGCTGATATTAAGGTGGGGTGAGGAAGACAGGATGGTGGGTGGGGAGGACGGCAGCTGAACCGTTGGTTTATTTCAGGCTTCCAAGACCTCCGACCATCGCTTCCTACAAGCCCCGATACAGGGTGGAGGTGCGGAACCCAGAGCAGATGTTTCCTCTCTTTGACTATCGATAGATGGTTTGGGGACACACGGGAAGGGAGGGGGAAGGAAAGGAAGGCAGTGAGAGAGAATCCTTATTTGGGAGCCCATCCTTCTCCAGTGGCTCAGTGTCCACCCCCTAAAGTTCTAGGAAGTGCCCGACAGATGTTAATCACATGGGCAAAGCCAGGGTTAAGACAAACCAAGGGCATGAATGTGGGACGGCCCATTACTTGGAGGTACCTTCCACACGGCAGCCTTCTAGTAGCGTGGGAATCATGCCACTAGCCATAGGCACAGCCCACTAGAAGCACCACGTGGTCCGCTGAGGTGGGACCTAACTGGATAACGTGAATTTTTTCTCTGTGGGTCAGCTTTGGCAGCCCTCCCAACCCGCCCTTGAATGGGATGATCTCCCACCCAGAGATGACTTCACCTCCCTGAGTTCCTTGGTAGGGAACTTGAGGGGTGGTTAGAAACTTCTGCCCGACTCACTGGAGAATAACACAGGACAAGAGAGGAAAAGAACAGCTCTCTGTGTCACCGACACCACTTGGAGAAACAGCCTAAAGGGCAGGGATAGCAGCTTGGAGAATTCCAGCAGCTTCAAACTCCACCACCAGGATCTTTGTGGGTCTCAGTTCCTGTCTGTAAAATGGGGAGAATAGTACATGTCAAGTGACTACTCTCCCTCATCAAGAGAACTTTGTGAGTAATAATTGTTATGACAGTGCTTTCCAAATGTGCAGGATCAGCGAGAAAGAGATTTCGCAGGGCATCAACAGCTCAGGGGATGTTGGCTACAGGCGGGGAAAGCACCTATGTGCCCTTCTACCTGCTGCACCCTCGGAGGGGGCTCAGCTGGGAGGACAGGTGCACTCCTCCCAGATTACTCTGAAATCATTGTGGGTGCCCAGTAAGCACTTCTTGGCCAGAGTCTGAGAGTAACAACTGAAAGTACTTGGGGCTCAAAATCACCTGCTCCCATTAATCATTCGAGGGCTTTGGTGTCACATCCTTCTCTGAAGTTTATCTTCTTTCTCAGGCACATGGCCATGAGGCCCTGTGAATCTAACTGCACTGTGTGTGGGGTGGGGGGGGGTCAAACTGCACTGGGCACGTACTTTTTCTTGGTCAGCATCTCGGTTTCTATTTCTAAAGGCAAAGGAGGTGTCTCGATTCCTTCCAAGACTTGAAAAGCCCAGCAGGGTTGGTGGCTTTTTTTGCTGTGCTGCTGAAGACAGGACAGGCTGCCCTGGTGGTGGTGAGCCCCCTGCCGCAGAGGCATTTAGCAAGATCACCTGTGACTACACACCATGCTAAGGACCTTGTGTGTGTCACCTTTATCGCTGCAACAACCCATAAACAACCCACTATCACGATCACCTCCATCTCACGGATAGGAGGGGAGGGTACCTGCCACACAGCAGCCTTCTAGTAACTTGAGATTCATGCCACTAGCCATAAGCACAGCCCGCCAGAGGCACCATGTGGTCCACGGAGCGGGATCTAAATGTATGACAATGAGTTTTTTCCCCATGGGTCAGCCTTGACCAGCCCTCCAACCTGCCTTTCACTGAAATGCTCTCCCATCCAGTGATGACTTTGCCTCCCTAATCCAGACAGGATTGGATGGGAAAACGCTGAGAAAGCGCAGGCAGCACAGCCTGGAGTGAGTGTGTGAGTGAGTCTGTGTGTGCGCATGCACGTGCGTGTGTGTGTGTGTGTGAGTGAGTGACAGAGAAAGAGAGAGAGAGAGAGACAGGGTGAAGGAGAGAGAGAACTGCTTTTGTACGAATCTTTCTTTTTCTTTCTTTTTTTTTCAGCAAACCACAGACCAGCTACACATTCTTGGGCAGTTTCCCGAGGATGAACTTAAGATTTTGTGAGAGAAAGGAAAAAAAAAAGAAAAGAGTAGACAGGGGTGGAGGAAGAAGCGAGGCAGAAAGTATCCAAGCTCACGAGCATGCATGTGCATGCACACACACACGAGCGCGCACATGCACACACACGCACACACTATTCAGACACGACTCCTAGCAATAAGGAAGTGAGACTAGATCTTTTTCATGAATGGGCTTAACTCAGCGTCGCTGAACTTCCGCTCTCCCATTCACCAGCATTCAAATTTCACCTTCTGACCATCCAAGGCAGCTGGCTGCTGGCCCAGGAACTAGGAGCACTTTGAGATCATTCCTCTGACCACAGGCAACTGTGTGCTTGCAAGGAATCTTCTTTCTTGAGCTGGTAAATTCAAAATGACCAGGGTGTTTACAGGATACCAGGTTTGAAGGCCAATGAACCTTGGACCCCCAACCCCACCTACTGCCCTGTTCCCCCAGGATCACAGCTTACATTCTGGAAAAGCTCAGAAATTACAGCAGGCAATGCAGGCAGAGGAAATATTTCTGCACAGGAACTGCACAGGAGCATGGCTGAGGTGAACTCTCTGGGGAACTTAAATGCCTGCCTTAAATTAGGCTGGGGGAAATGACAGTCACCATTTGGAAAGGACACTTTATGGCTCTCCCCATGGGAGCTAGGGAGCAATTAACTGGGGTGTGTAACCTGTAAGGGTGCCATTCTTTCATACTGGGTGGGAGCCAGGTGAGGCACAGGCAACAGTGGAAGTTTCTGTTCTTTGAAAATCAGCCTCAAGATCCCTGGGGGGAAAGAGAGGGTATGTCCAGGCAGTGGAAGGACCAGTAAAGGATCTCAAGCAAGTCATTTCATGTTGCTGTGCTCCAGCTTCATCTGTCAATAAGACCTCCCTGGCACAACTGCTGGGATGACCCAGTGAGCAAAGACAAAGTCCCGCCTTCCCGGTGGGAATGACCGGGGCTCATCGGCAACCCAGTCAGGGAAACCCCTACCACCTAGAACTGACAAAGCAGCTGCCACTATTCTGAAAGAATAAGGATAGCTTTACCTCTGAACTTCCAGAAATGGTGACAGTGACAGACTAGTGACCCAGAAGCAGGGAGAGCAATGGGAAACAGATGGGGCTGGCCTGCCCCAAGACCAAAGAAGGAGCAGGAGAGAAGCTGCGGCAGAGACACCACAGAGGCTCAGCTTTTCTTTTCCTGATTTCTTTCCCCTCCCCTCCAGCTCATAATGGAATCTCAAGGAGGCAATAGAGAAAGGGACATCCTTTTCCTGACTCCACCCTGCATCCGTAGAATCCTCACACAGGCTCCCTGGTCCCTACACTTGGATGGGCAACAGGGGGTCGCGAAACCCCGTGTCTTACAATGTTTGGGCCCAGAGACAGGAACATGGATGAAATGGCTTTCAGAGTGCCTTCCCCACTTGGGGCCAGGAGCCTTTCCCCAGAGCTGAATCTAGGGCAGCGTGCTGGAGAACTGCATTCCACTCCTTGCAGCTGCTGAGCTACTGGGTCCAGCTCTGGGCACTGGTAATGGACTCGGAAATACCAGTGGGCTTTGTTTGGGCTGATTACTCACAGTAGAGGAATGATATCCATTCCACTGGACTTTCTAGGAACTTGCCTGCAGCTGGAGCAGTCCCTGTCCCTAGGTTCCCTCTAGCACAGAGAGGTTGCTAGCAGAGGCCCGGCTGGGGAGGGAATATGCAGCTTACAGGGGATGCCAGTGGGCCCTAGGAAGCATTGATGCAATGCTCTTTTTATGAGGCTGGGCTCTGAGCCCTTCTCCCCTGTGATAACTTCTGGGAGTAACTTTCCCCATTTCCCTGGTCTCCTCTCCCCCTCCTGCTTCAAGAGCCAAATTCCTGCATGACAGCAGCACCTGAGGAATGGGAACTCACACAATAGTGATACAGGTGGAGAGAGGAAATACCTGTAGGTCTAAGGAGCTTGGGTAATAAAGGCTGCCATTCGCCAAACCCTCACATGCCAAGTGCATGCCCAGCCCTGCAGGCTCTGCCTCCCTCAATCTTTCCAGCGCCCTGGTTGTGCAGGTGCTATCCTCGTGACCTTTTCACAGATGAGGAAATGGACCCTTAGAGAGGTCAGGAAATGCTTCCAAGATCACATAGTTAGCAAATGGCAGAGCTGAGAAATAACTCCATGTCTGTTCAGTGATAAGCACATGGGTTTAGCCACTGGACTCTGATTTTTGTGTGTACGTTAGTAGCTCAGCTTTTATGAGAACTGGAGATTAAGCTCCCTGAGGGTAAAAGCTACAGCTTATATTTTGCCCTATTTATCTCTATGTGATGCCAGGAACTCATTTTAAAAAGCAGCTGCCGACTCCGGAATCTGCGAACCCCAGTAGGTGCCGCATCCCCATCCCGCAGCCATGGCCGCCTACAAACTGGTGCTGATCCGGCACGGCGAGAGCGCGTGGAACTTGGAGAACCGCTTTAGCGGCTGGTACGACGCCGATCTGAGTCCGGCGGGCCACGAGGAGGCAAAGTGTGGCGGGCAGGCGCTGCGAGATGCTGGCTAGAGTTTGACATCTGCTTCACCTCAGTGCAGAAGAGAGCGATCCGGACCCTCTGGACAGTGCTAGATGCCATTGATCAGATGTGGCTGCCAGTAGTGAGGACTTGGCGCCTCAATGAGCGGCACTATGGGGGTCTAACTGGTCTCAATAAAGCAGAAACTGCTGCAAAGCATGGTGAGGCCCAGGTGAAGATATGGAGGCGCTCCTATGATGTCCCACCACCTCCGATAGAGCCTGACTATCCTTTCTACAGCAACATCAGTAAGGATCGCAGGTATGCAGACCTCACAGAAGACCAATTACCCTCCTGTGAGAATCTGAAGGACACAATTGCTAGAGCTCTGCCCTTCTGGAATGAAGAAATAGTTCCCCAGATCAAGGAGGGGAAACGGGTACTGATTGCAGCCCATGGCAACAGCCTCCGGGGCATTGTCAAGCATCTGGAGGGTCTCTCTGAAGAGGCTATCATGGAGCTGAATTTGCCGACTGGTATTCCCATTGTCTATGAATTGGACAAGAATTTGAAACCCATCAAGCCCATGCAGTTCCTGGGGGATGAAGAGACCGTGCGTAAAGCCATGGAAGCTGTGGCTGCCCAGGGGAAGGCCAAGAAGTGAAGGCCAGCGGGCAGGCTGTTGTCCCCAGGAGCACCCTCCCTGCCTGTTGCATCCCTTTACCCCTCCCTCCTGCACATGTCACACTAACCACATCTGTAGACATCTTGAGTTGTAGCTGCAGATGGGGACTGGTGGCTCCCATTTTCATTTTAGCCATTTTGTCTCCTGTACCCACTCCCTTCATACATTCTAGTCAGAATTGCACTTCTAGGGCACAGGTTCTCAGTCCAAGCTGTAGAAAGGCTCCCCTTATCCAAGAGAGTTGAAAGGTAGTGACAAGCTTTTGCAAGTGCTTTGTTTACTAAGGACTTGAAGGGAGGAACATGCTAAGCTGTGATCAGTGAAGAGAAGCAAGAGAGCCTGTCCACCTGCAGGAGCCAGTCCTCTGCTTATCTGCAGTCAGGCCTGGGGGCTCTAGTCATTCCAGTGGCAGATGAATGTAACCTGCATGGTGATGTGACAAATGTTTCCTCCCTGACCCCAGAGAAGCTGGCTCTAGAAGGTTGGGATGAATCGTGAATTTAGTTTAGGTGTTACATTTACTTTTATATAAAAAAAAGAAAGTATAGTATATATAAATAGTACAAAACAATAACCCTTTTGGGGTTCCTTGTGGCGGTTGAAATAGTACCACACATGGTCATCAGAAAATAAACCATTCCTCATACCAATATGGGATAAGCTCCTTGACCTCTGAGGGGCAGGAGTGCTTCCTGCTGTGTTTCCGAATCCCTCCCCACCTTGTTTTGTGGCAGTGAAATGCCTCTTGGTCCTGTCCAGGTGTCTCACTGATTTCTGAATCATGTTCTAGTTGCTTGGCTCTGCCACATGGGTCCAGTGTTCCTTTGAGCATAACTGTACTAAATCCTTTCTCCAGATAAGTATAATAAAGGAGTGATGTGCAATTAAAAAAAAAAAAAAAAAAAAAGCAGCTGCCAACCATGCTGAGACGGTGGTCAGCGGCTGTCCATGGATGATCTGGCGGCCACTGCAGCTGAAGAGACCAAAAGCAACCCTGGAACTGTCCACACTGTAGACAGACTTTTCAGGTCTCTCTCGCCCTGCTTTTCCCGTGGTGGTTGTATTTTTCTCCCATCTGCCTCCTGGTTCCTGCCCATTGGAGGCTTTTCCAGCCTCGTGACCCCTCTCTGCAAATGCCTGCACCTACTCATCGCTCTGTCTTGACGCTGATACCACAGACCGAGATTCCTCTACTTTTCTTTCCTGCGCCACATGTTTCCTTACGGCTTCTCTGGCTCCTTCTCTGTGTCTCTAAGCATCTGGGCCACCTCACTCTCCGTTCCCACTGAGGGTGTCTGAGAGAGTCCCTGATGGGTTAGTAACAACCCAAATCTGGAGATACCTCTTGGTCTCACCAGCTTAGCTTTTAGGCTGCCCACATTCTATAAAGCAGAGGCCCACAACCGTTTTGGCACCAGGGATGGGTTTCATGGCGACAATTTTTCCACGGATAGGGCAGGGAGGAAAGTGTGGTTTCAGGATGATTCACATGCATTACATTTTTGCACGCTTTACTGCTATTATTGTCACATTGCAATATATAATGAAACAATTATACAACTTACCGTAATGTGGAATCAGCGGGAGCCTTGAGTTTGTTTTCCTGCAGCTAGACAGTCCCATCTGAAAGTGATAGGAGACAGTGACGGATCATCAGGCATTGGATTCTCATAGGTAGCGCACAACCCAGATCCCGCGCATGAGCACTTCACAATGGGGTTTGCGCCCCTATGAGAATCTCATGAGGCTGCTAATCTGACAGGAGGTGGAACTCAGGCGGTGATGTGAGCAATGGGGAGTGGCTATAAATACAGATAAAGCGTCACTTGCTTGCCCACTGCTCACGTTCTGCATGTGGCTGGGTTCCCTCCATAGCAGGGCTCACCTCAGGTCCTCCAACTTAAAGATGAGGCACCTGAAGCTCAGAGACGTTAAGCAACTTGCCTGAGGCCACACACTTAGAAGGTGATAGAATCCAGATGGGAACATACGTCAGTCTGGGAAGACGAAAGAAGCTGTGGGATGAATGGTGGTAGTAGCTGCGTTCTTAATGCTACCGAATCCCTTAAAATGCTGAAAGTGGTAACCTTTGTCACGTACGTTTACCACAACAAAAAGTGGTTAAAATGGTAAAAAGAAACAACGAACAAAATAACCTCATGGGATTTTAAACTGGATTAAATGAGTTACTCTACCTGAACCCTTTTCTTCATGCCTGGTATGTAGCTGCTAATATGATGACTAATTATGTTAATATTGCCTTTTTAGTTTCTTCATCTATAAAGTGGGAATAAATAATAAAGATACCTCTTAGGGCTTATTTTCCTTATTTCTTAGGAATTTATTGTGGCAAATTTATGCATATGTAAGTTGCATTCATTTTTTAAAACGAAGACATCACTACTTGAAGAGCGTAAGTACTAAGTATACAGCTGGATGGATTTTGTATACGTATTTATCAATGTACTCACCGCCCAGGCCACGGTAGAGACATTTTCCATGCCCTGAAAACTTCCCCGTGTTCCTCCAGGTTAGGACCAGCTTCCTTCCCACTCTTAGGGTTTCTGATTGGATTAAACACAACCCGTAGCACCTTGTCTGACAGACTTGCTCCATCAATGTTATTAATAATCAATACCATCATTAACACACGAATTACTGCTGTTTGACAAAGGGCAAAAACAATAGAACTGCTAACGATGACAATACTCCAAACCCAATTTAGAACAAAACTCATACAAGAGCACAGGCCACAGAGCTAAGAGGCTGGCCCTTTGACTGCCATCTGCCAGCCATGCAGCCTGCACCACGAGGATGCCCCTCTGAGCTTCAGGGTCCCTATCCCTCAAGTGAGGCCTCAGTCCAAGTCATCTCTATGGCTCCTTCTAGTTCCAACATCCTACAAGCCTAAGAATTTGGCATTGTAACTGGCATGGGGATGAAATAAGTGTGGAAACTGAGGGTTACAGCAAAGTCAACCCCATAGATCTCTTGCACCCCAGCAGCTGGAGTGGGGTTCATGGGTTCATGGGGACAATACAGAAAGACTCTTGCTATAACTCTTGAAGAGTTCTAGTTCAAACCACACCAGTGGGTTGACCTTTAGAGATGAAAAACCTTTCTCCACATTAGGGCTGACATGCACAGGTCATACAAGTGGCCAAGTCCACCCACTCTGTTCTCAGCTGTTGGATTCTTTGGGTGGCAGAATTTCCATCTGCTCACACAGCTGTGCTGAGAGCTGAAGTGCCTGGGGTGGTCTCTGTTCACCATCCAGCTGTTTAAGCAGCAGGCAGGGGGAGCTTCCTCTCGCTTCCTCAGGACTGCAGCTGTTGAGAGCATTATGGGAACAAAGGCTGACTTCTATGACAAGAATGTGTCAAAACCAATTTTTCTTAATGCAGGAAATGATTTCAAGTTGACTTATAAGCTAGTCCAAACATGTTCTCTGCAATATAAAACATAGTAATAAAGTGCCTAAAAGGTTGTCTCATATACAACAGGTACTTGGTAAATGTCAGTTCCTAGACTTCTCAGCCTATATTAATCTGCCATTCATTCGTTCACTCATTCATTCATTCACTCAGCAAACAGTTTTCAATGCTGTGGGATACAGGTACTGAAGACACCATAATGAACAGCGCAGACAAAATCCCTGCCTTTGAATTTTATAGTCTGGTGAGTACAGACTGACAATTGACAATTTACAATTAAGAAAGAAAAAGGCAACATGCATTCAGTCGATCAAATATTTACTGAGCACTTACTAGTGCCAGACACAGTTTTAGGTATTAGGGATACAGTGTTAAACAAGACACACATGGTTTCTCAACTTAGAGAGCTTTACTTCTAGTGGAGAACCAGACAGTAACTATATGAACAAATGAATACACACGTTTTGTGATGGCAAGTGTTTGAGGGAAATGAACATAGCAGGGGTGAAGCACAAGAGGAGAATGTGCTGCGTTGACAGAGGGGGCCAGGCTTCAATAATTTCTAGAGAATACAAAGCAAAAAGAAAACTTCCATCGCCCTCATGGCTATGTCACTGGTTTTCCTGTTGTGTGTTGTTAGACATCTCTTCTGTGTAAACGTTTCTGGAGCACTGGTTTCCCTCCTCTCTTGGATGGCATGAAGGTAAGCTCCTTGAGGTCAGGAGCTGTATCTCAATTTGAGTGCTCCAGAAATCCAAATATACTAGCCACCTACTATAAACTGAGTATCGCTCATCCAAAATGCATGGAACCAGCAGTGTTCTGGATTTTTTATATCTCCAGAGTTTGCAATATTTTGCACATAATGAATACGTTGGGGATGGGATCCAAGTCTAAACATAAAACTAATCTATTTCTCATATATACATTATACACATAGCTTAGAGGTAATTTTATAACATATTTTACACAATTTTGTGCGTGAAACAAAGTTTGTGTTAAGTACTTAATGTGCAAAAATTTTCACTTGTGGCATCATGTCCACACTCAAAAATGTTGGACTTTGAAGCATTTCAGATTTTGGATTTTTGGATTAGGGATACTCAACTTGTATATTTGAGGGATTTCTTGACGGAATTTAGCAGAGAATGGGTAAGGCTGCTCTCTGACTTGATTGAAGATGCTTCTGCAGCGTCCAACAAAGATCTTAAGAATCGGGGGCTTATGGAGCAGGGGCAGGTAGGGAGTGCATGGTGAAAAAGAGGCTTTGAGGAGGAGCCCTGCAGAATAAGACTCTAAAGTAAAGTTCTAGAACATGCAGGATTTAATTCCAATGAAAAGCATGGAATGACATGATGGACAGCTGGAAGCAAGAGCTGGCTCTTTCCCGCCCTTGCCATCTGATAACAGTCCTGCCTCACTTCTCTATCAAGATCTTAGGAAAAAAAAAAGATTTCAGCTATCTGAACACTGCCTTCCAGCTTGAGTTTGGGAGATAAAAGTGATGCTATTAACTCTGAGAGTGAGGAAACAGAGAAACAGGTCGGCTGTCTTATCCAAGGCCCCCCAGGAAGTTGGGGCAGAAACCAGGAGCACTGGTTTGCCTTTCTTGGGTGGCACAAGGGTAAGCTTCTAGACGGAGCTCTCCTCATTCAGGGTCAGTGGCATGATTTGCCAGATCTACATGAACTGCATTCATCCTTAGCTCTTTTGTGCATCATGATTATCTGACTTAAAATTCTTATTCAAAAAATGCCTGAACTTTCCTTCTCTTGACTCCCTAGCCACTGCCTAGCCTTCTTTATCTTCACTTCCAGCTTCCTACATCTTCCTGGGTGGCAGGGAAGGAACCATAAGCATAGGCAGGGTGGGAGGCCAACACTCAGGGTTGCAGCTCGGTGCAGCTGTCACTGATTATGGAAGGAGGCACAAGAGCCCTGAGCACACGCAGCTTTGCCTCAGTTGCTGAATGCAGATTTGAAAACCACAGCGAGTGAAGACCAGAAAGGACCGCTACCAGCCTGACCAGTGGGTCAGGGTGGTAGAGACCTCGCTCAGCTCCCAAGCCTAGCTTCCGCTTTCTCCACCTGGATTTTCTTCCCTTCAAGAAGATGTGCAGGGCCAGTGTGGATGGGGCAGTGCCACATGAACCATTCAAAAGAGGGCTATTTCCTGTTCTGTACCAAACTCCGCAGGGATCTCCTTGCAATGACTGTCCTGAGTTCCGACCTCTTCCTCTTGCAGGTGCTATATAGCAATCACAGCACTTTGAAGGCATAGACCTCATGTCCTGCCCTGCTTAAAGTTCTTCAAGACTTCTCCCTTGCTCTAAGAATGAAGTCTCAACATGGCTTCTAACTCCTGCTTAACTCTCCAGCAGCAGCCCAGGTCAGCTCCTCTTCCCTGACTCCTGCCACAGTTCCTTCTTATCCTCAAACAGCCAAAGTCTCACACCATGGGCTTTTATTTTTTTGAGTCAAGATTTCACTCTGCTGCTCAGGCTGGAGTGCAGTGACATGATCACAGCTTACTGCAGCCTCAAACTTTTTGGCTCAAGAGATGCTCTCATCTCAGCATCCCAAGAAGCTGGGACTACAGGCATGTGCCACTATGCCTGGCTAATTTTTCAAGAAAAACTTTCTGTAGAGATGAGAGTCTTACTATTTTTCTCAGTCTGGTTTCAAACTCCTGGCCTTAAGCAATCCTCCCCTCCCACCTCGGCCTCCCAAAGTGCTGGGATTATAGGCTTGAGCCATGTACCCAGCATCCACGGGGCTTTTGTATAGGCTGTTTCCTGGACTTATTTGCTTAGGTATCTCTTATTTAGCTTTCAGGTCTCAGCTTAAATGTCATTTCCCTTCTTCTGGACCTGGCAGAGCAGAAGGTGCCATCAAGGGAGATGATGTCTGCCACGACAAGAACCAAAAGCTTTGGCGTCAGGAGCCCAAGAGCCAGGACATCTACCAAATGCTGTTGGTCAAGCTGTTCAGGTTTTTGGCCAGATGAACCAAGTCCACCTTCAACCAGGTTGTGCTAAGGACGTTGTTAATGAACCGCAGCAACTGGCCACCTCTGTCCTTTTCCCAGATGGTCGGGAAGATGAAGCTTTCCGGCTGGAAGTGCTGTTGTGGGGGTCATAATGGATGTCATGCCCATGTTGGAGGTGCCCGAATTCAAGGTGTGTGCACT